GCCTGTAAGGGGCTAATTGGAATAAATGATTTTTGAATTTTTTTTGTTAAGGCAGCTTCTCATGCATGAGGGTACGAAACCTGGCAAGTACCAATGTGACTTTTTCCGAGTTATATGTACTTTCTATGATTATTTAGACGCCACTGACATACGGTGAAGGTAAACATCGTGAGGAAACCTGGACTTATTATTTCCATTTTCCAGTCCAGTCCATCAGTAACCAATAAGCTGTTGATGTTTTAAAAGGGATAGATCGGCAAACGAACAGATGGATTACCTGATGGTAAGCAATCAGCGCCGCCCATGGACACCGATAACACCAGATAAGTTACAAGTGCATTGCCTGTATTTTGGAGATAGTGTTTCTGAGATTTAGAGATTGGGGGAGGGGAAGAAGAATAGGGTGTTACCGACCTTTTGGACAAAAGGGATTTTTGGGGACATAGGGATTGGGTAAGGGGAAGGCAAATTGGACCTTCTTCAACCTCACTCACACGGCGAAACACAACGCTGTGGTTGTTTCACGCCGGTTTTCTGTGAGGCCGTGGTATCACTCCGAAGGTTGTGGATGATTATAATGGTCATGATTTTGGAAAAAACACTTACATTCTCTGTCCCATGTCCATATTGAAGATGTCTGATGATACCACGGCGACTACTGATAATAATGCCACATACATCGCAGATATATTTCTTTGAATTCGGTCCGTGACCTCTCCTTATATGTTTAGCCAAACGCATCTTCGATGAGAACCTGTGAAAATTAAACATTTAAAAAACCAAAACCCCAGAAAAAACTATTTTTTTTAATAAGGATTTCATTTTTTATTGTACTAGGTCCTCTCGCGCAGTTTCACCCGCTGCTTGCGGCTTCACTTGATCGTAGCGTGATGTTTTATAGCCTATAGCACTCAGGAACATTGTAGCTATCTATCAGTGAAAGAATTTTGGCAATCCGACCAGCGGTTCCAAAGATTACCCCCCTACATACAAACTTACGAATTTTACCTCTTTATAATATTAGTATAGATTTAGGTTAATACTTGACTATGATAAATACTGTTGTCCTATGTTTATTTGTTTTTGCTCTTTGTGTGATCCACAAATTGTTGTTCCGGGTCTGGGTGTGATGTGTATGTGAAATTGTATGTTTGTAAACGCACCCACGACACAGGAGAAAATCTTAATACAGGGCAGTTTTTTTTAAGAAAATATCCAAACTAATATTATAAATTCGAAACTAGCTATGTCTGTCTTTTCTTCACGCCTAAACTACTGAACCGATTTCTGTGAAATTTGGTACAGACATAGTTTGGAACTCGAGAAAGGACATAGGATAGTTTTTAAACAAAAAATCTGCAAAAGTCAATATTTCACGCGGGCGAAGTCGCGGGCAGAAGCTAGTATTTCTAATTCTTTCGTAATTCTTTTTTGACATTTTTAATTTGATTCCTTTTTTTGACATTTTTAATTAGATTTTTTATTATGACATTTTTAATTTGTTTTTATTATTATTTGTTTTAATTTGCCTTTTTGAATTTGGAAATATTGTTTTGACATTTTTTAATGTTGCCCTGTGTTAATATAATTTTGACGCTTATGTTGTACAGCTACTTTTGGGACAGTGCTCGCTAGACCTTAATAATGTATATATTATATAACACGTTAGTATCAATTTCAATACTTATTTAAAAATTAATTATATTTTTAAGACTCCAAAAATTGAGGAGGTTCGCAACTCGTCGGGATCTTTTTTTTATGGATGTTCACAGATTACTCGAAGACGCCTGGACCGATATGGAAAATTGTTTTTTGTTCAGTAGGGTGTGATTTCCAGGTGGTCCCATGATCACCATTTGGAGATTTATTTTATTTTTATTTATTTATGAATAATTTCTCGTTTTTGTTTTTATTGGTTATTTTTGTTTTGGAGTTTTAATTTTGATACTAATTTTGTAATTTATAGTTGTAAGTAAAGCAAACTTTAGCATTTTTGTAAACCACTGTCGCATTAGGTCAAGCCTGTAAGGACAGGGTGTATGTTTTTAAAATAAATAAATAAATAAAAATAAATAAATAAGTATATAATAATACTTACATTTCGCTACAATAATCGCACTGCACCCGGTATCCCCTTAAATGCATAGCAATGTGTTCGTTAAGTCGCGATTTCCTCGGAAACCGGCGGTTGCAGTATGTACAATTGTATTGGCGATCCGGATAGTGTATAAGAAGATGCTTTTTGAGATCACCCTGTATAGAATAAAAGAAAGAAAGAAAGAAAAAATATTTGACACTGAAAATGCCGCACAAATCACCAAATATGTAGAAAAACTAAATATTTTTTTTATGTAATAGGTCGGCAACAAGCAGACGGATTACCTGATGGTAAGCAATCAGCGCCGCCCATGGACACCCGCAACAGAGGAGTTACAAGTGCTTTGCCGGCCTTTTGCGGTTTTGTGTTTTTAGGTTGCGGATATAAGGATTGGGAAGGGATAGGGGAAGGGGAGGGATTGGGCCTCCGGTAACCTCACTCACACGGCGAAACACAACGCTGTGGTTGTTTCTCGCTGGTTTTCTGTGAGGCCGTTGTATCACTCCGGTCGAGCCGACCCATTCGTGCCGAAGCGTGGCTCTCTCACACTTCATAATAACACACTTTATTATTATAAATTGTATTAAGAAGTATTTGTTAGGTTATCCCTCCTCCTTCCATCGTTAATCCTGAAATCCCTTATAACCCACAAGAGGTCGGCAACGCACTTGAAACTCCTTTGGTATTACGTGTGTCCATGGGCGCGCCGATTGCTTACCATCAGGTAATCCGTCTGCTAGTTTGCCGACTTATTTATGTCATAACAAAAAAATAGAGGTTACCGGACGTAAAATCTCTCCCCAATCCCTAAAATCTCTTATCCCCAAAAGGCCAGAAACAAAGTCAAAGTCAAAATTTATTCCAACTAAACAATAAATAGGTACTTTTGAAACGTGAAACACACTTCCAACTCCTTTGGTATCACAAGTGTCCATGGGCGGCGCTGATTGCTTACCATCAGGTAATCCGTCTGCTCGTTATCATAATCATCACTGCTGAGCAACGTACCCAAACTCATACAGACAAGGTTTCAAGTCAAGCTTGCTCAAGGCAGACTGGCGATTTCAAACCTTTAAGTTCAGGGTTTAGAGATTGGAGGAGGAGGGGATAGCATCACGGCTTTAGTAATCTGTAAAAATAAATATATTTCCCCACACAATAGCTGATTGATCATTTTTTGAAATTTCCATATTGGTCTTACAGAAAAAGTTATTATAATTGAGCACACGCTTCGACACGAATGGGTCCGCTCGACCGGAGTGATACCACGGCCTCACAGAATACCGGCGTGAAACAGCCCACAGCGTTGTGTTTCCCCGTGTGAGTGAGGTTACCGGAGGCCCAATCCCTCCCCTCCCCTATCCCTTCCCAATCCGCAACCCCCATCCCCAAAAGGCCGGCAACGCACTCGTAACTCCTTTGGTGTTGCGGGTGTCCATAGGCGGCGCCGATTGCTTACCATCAGGTAATCGGTCTGCTCGTTTGCCGACTTATACCATAAAAAATACACAAAAATCGGTTCCTTGAACATCTCCTTGGTTAGAAATAAGACACTGTATAAAAAAGAAAGAAAGAAAGAAAAACCATTTATGAAAGAAAAACAGCTTACCTTAATTTTAAATCGGCGGCGACAGCTTCTATAGCTGCATTTGTAAGGTCTAAGGTTGACGTGTCGCCTCAAATGCGCCAAAACATTAGTTTTCGATATCTCCACACCACATATTTCACAGTTAACACGATTAGACTTTTTGTGTACTGCGTTCTGTTAAATAAATACGTATTTATATAATTAACTATATAAGAAAGAAAGAAGTAAAATGGAATAAAGGAAAAAAAGAGAGAATGAATGAAAAAAAGAATGAAAGAAGACAAGAAAGAAAGAAAGAAATAATGAAATAAGGAAGGAAGGAAGGAAAGAAAGACAGAAAGAAAGGAAGTACATTAAAATGAATTGGTGGGGATGTATATTATTTAGGACCAAGAACACAGGACGGAGAAATAATATAGGATACGAGTGGGTAGGGTAGGTAGGGTAGGGTCCGACCTGCGGCCACCGTAGGGTGCAGCCTGCGAACGACAGACTCGGGGCGTCTTGTCGTCTAACCAGCAGCAGGCCTCGAGGCGGCGGCGCCGTGTTCCGCGCGCGCCTCATAGTTGAGTCCTGCGGTCGGGGTGACGGCCGCAGTGGGGGACGGTGCCCGCCCCTCCGACACATGGGTTATTGAAGGAACACCGGGTTGGTTTTTAGTCAGTAAGAGTCTTCTTACTGACTAAAAACCAACCCGGATAAAGTCAGACGACAGTATCCTTCGCCCTTCCCCGAGGGCGATGAGTCTCCATGAGGATTTTCCAACCCGATACCAAAAAAAACGGGTGGGATAGAATAGGGTAGTAGGGTAGGGTAGTAGGGTAGGGTAGGATAAGTAGGGTAGGTAGGGTATGTGGGGGGGGGGTAGGTTGAATAGGGTATGTAGGGCAAGTAGAGTAGGTAAGGTATATAGGGTAAATAGTATAGGTAGGATAGGCTAGGTAGTCAAATGACGGGAACGCAGCCACGAATAAAAGCTAGTAATCAACAAAATATTAATAATAATACTCACATTATGTACATTCAACGAATTTTTAGTTTTAAACATCTTATCGCACAGTTCGCACGGAAACTTCCGAGGGTTCAGCTCAAAGTGAACTTCGTCCAGATGGAACTGGAGGGTATCCTTCCTCTTGAAACTGTGGAAGAAATAATATAATAAGGACTTTTTTCATATACTCGTTACTATTTGACGGGTTAACTTGATTAATTTCGGGCCACGCTAGGGGTTAAACCTCTTTCGACCTGCGGCCTCATAGTGGAGTAATTCGTTTGCTCGTTTGCCGACCTATACCAAAGAAATATGGGGGAGCCATGCTTCAGCATGAATGGGTCGGCTCGACCGGAGTGATATCACAGCCTCAAAGCGAAACCGGCGTGAAACAACCACAGCGTTGTGTTTCGCCGTGTGAGTGAGGTTACCGGATGCCCAATTCTTCCCCTCCCCCAATCCCTAAATCTCCACAATCCGAATCCCTAAACGGTCGGGAACGCACTCGTAACTCCTCCACTGCGGGTGTCCACGTGATTGCCTACATCAGGTAATCCGTCTGCTGGTTTGCCGACCTATTACATAAAAAAAAAACAAAAAAAATCAAATCCTCTAACAACTCCTTCAGTGGTACGGGCGCTGATTGCTTACCATCAGGTAATCCGTCCGTCTCATATCATATACTAGCTACTCTCGAGCGGTTTCACCCGCTACTCAGCTACATTTAATCGTAGCGTGTTTATAGCCTATAGCACTCAGGAACGTTGTAGCTACCTATCAGTGAAAGAATTTTGGCAATCCGACCAGCGGTTCCAAAGATTACCCCCTACATACAAACTTAGAAATTTTACCTCTTTATAATATTAGTATAGAAAAAGAAGCACTTACATCTTATTGCATAAAGAACATGGGAAATCTTTGGATATGCCCATATGTCTTTCGATATGTTTCCTTATGGTTGAGGTGTCGCGACAGGCGTAATCACAGTAGGTGCACTGGTAGGGCTTCTCTCCTGTAACAATTCACCATCATCACCATCATCATCATCAGCCCATAAGCGTTGAGTTTCGCCGTGTGAGTGAGGTTACCGGAGGCCCAATCCTTCCCCTCCCCCAATCTCTCCTAAATCCCTAAATCTCCAAATCCCTTATCCCTAAAAGATCGGCAACGCACTAGTAACTCCTCCGTTGCGAGTGTCAATGGGCGGCGCTGATTGCTTACCATCAGGTAATCCGTCTGCTCGTTTGCTGACCTATTAAATAAAAAAAATAAAAAAGTGTGCAGCAGTGGGCTGCTGAGCGAAGGCCTCTTCTCACACGGAGAAGGTTTGAGCATATACCACGCTTGCTCAAGGCGAATCGGCGATTTCAAACTTATAATTAGACATTATAAGTCCAGGTTTCCACACGATGTTTTCCGTCACCGTATGTCAGTGGTGTCTAAATAATCATCGAGGCCTCCCCCTTAGCTCTCCACGTCGAACGACAAGTTGCCACCTGCATCCATTGGCTCCCCGCGACTCTGACGATGTCGTCGGTCCACCTAGTGGGAGGCCTGTCCGCGCTACGTTTTCCGGTCCTTGGTCGGTTGGATGCGTTTACAAACATACAATTTCATTTCACAAACAATACTAACTAATGAAGAAAATCATCATAATTTTCTCTTCGTTAATGTCGTAAAATAACAGTTATTAGGAAAACGAAGATTGCAAATTTTCGTATCGCGTATTTTTGTTATTTAATTGCCAAATGTACGTAATCGTTATAACAGTGCTACTATTTGGAATCGCAGGTATTTTGTTTTTTTTTATGTAATAGGTCGGCAAACGAGCAGACGGATTACCCGATGCTAAGTTATTCAGCGCCGCAAATGAACACACGCTACAGAGGAGTTATAAGCGCACTCAGGCCATTTTGGGGATAAGAGTTTCGGTAGTTTAGGAATTGGAAAGGGGAAAAGGATTGGGCCTCCGGTAACCTCACTCACACGGCGAAACACAACGCTGTGGTTGTTTCACGCCGGTGTTCTGTGAGGCCGTGGTATCACACTACAGTAGCCGAAGCTTGGCGTGATGATGATGATGAAAATAAACTTCAAAACAATGTCTTCATGATCAGGAGACACAAGCGTTTCTTTCAAGGCCAAAATCGATTAATTTGCTATTAGGGAGCCCAGGGTTCTACCAGCGACCTTCCGGATCCATCATCAAACCAGCTCGTTGGTACCATAATATTGTATTGTCATCTACTCCACACACAATTGCCAAGTTTTATGATGATACAACAATTACAAGTGTTTGTAATTGTTGTATACATATTATTTGTAATACATATTTATTCTTACATCCGGTTTCCGAAAGGCCGATCAACGTTAAAATCAATTTAATCTCTTGTCAAGTCATCTGATTGGTTGACTAAGTTGTCAACAACCAATCAGATGACACCATCATGGTACCATCGAGCTAGTTTGATGTTGGATGCGGAAGGTCGCTGGTAGAACTCTAGGCTCCCTATTAGCAAATCTATTATTTTGGGCTTGTAAGAAACGCCTGTGTCTCCTAACCATGAAAACATTGTTTCGAAGTTTATTTTCATCATCATCACGCTAAGCTTCAGCTGGTGCCACGTCATGAATCATCAATGTTAGAATCAATTTAATCTCTTGTCAAGTCATCTGATTGGTTGTTGATAACTTAGTCAACCAATCAGATGACTTGACATCAACATCGGCCTTTCGGAAACCGGATGTTAGATTTTATCCACAGATTTTGTAACAGTTTGACCTAATAAGTGTGGGAGAGCCATGCTTCGGCACGAATGGGTCGGCTCGACCGGAGTGATACCAAACGGCCTCGAAAGAAAACCGACGTGAAACAACCACAGCGTTGTGTTTCGCCGTGTGAGTGAGGATTCCGGACGCCCAATCATTGCCCTCCCCTAATCCCAATATCTCCAAACACCTAATCCGCAAAAGATCGGCAACATACTCTTAACTGTTCTGTTGTTGCGGGTGTCCATGGGCGGCGCTGATTGCTTACCATCATGTAATCCGTTTGCTCGTTTGCCGTCATCCATACCTCCATATTAATATTATAAATGCTATAGTAACTCTGTCTGTCTGTCTTTTTTTTTTCCGCCTAAACTACTGAACCTATTTGTTTGCAATTTGGTACAGACATAGTTCGGAACTCGAGAAAGGACATAGGATAGTTTTAAACCAAAATTCTGCAGGAAGTGCGAGGTTCCACGCGAACAAAGTCGCGGGTAAAAGCTAGTATAACATAAAAAAACGCTTGTTATAATAGATTTGTATGCCTTTTACAGATGCTAGAGTATTTTGTAATGACGACAACGCTGGACCTTGGGTTCCTCTGGGATATGCTTGCCAAATAACGTGCAGTACCATTCTAACAGCTATTGAAAGGTGAGTTAAGTGGAGAAAGAAAAGAATAGAGAAAAAGAAAATAGAGATAAACAATGATTTATCACACTTCATATATTCCAGACTAAAAGCATTAGACTACGAATACTTTGTAAAAGATATGCTTAAAAACAAAATAAACGAATCGAACGGCGACATTTCCAACATAGGCCAACCACAACAAGATAATATTGTCAGACAATCGCTTAAGATCTCCTTACGCAACGACACAAGAAAAAATTTAAAACTATTCAACACCTACCATAGACTACTAACAAACGAGAACTTCGCCGACGCATTGGAAAAAGAGGCGGGAAAAATGACAGCCCGTTTGACAGCCGAATGTCAGAGTAATGAAATGGCTACGAAAAACGGTTACCGAAAAAAGTTTGTAAACGAAAAATGTACGAGGAAATTGAACAAGAGAAAGGATATTTTAGTGTATTTTAAAACTTTCTTGAATAACTACGCTGATTCTAAGTACCAATTTGATGAGAAGATGGCCGGGGTGAGTAGTAAAGTTGCGTTCTATTATGGTATATCGGTTTTTTTATATGTCGACTAACGAGCAGACGGGTTACCTGATGGTAAGTAAACAACGCCGCCCGTGAACACCCGCAACGGAGGCGTTACGAGTGCGTTGCCTACCTTTTAGGGATTGGGGATTTGGTGATTTAGGGATTGAGGAAGGGGAAGGATTGCAATCATACAAATGTTTAAAACAAGGTATGTAATTGACTGCACAGTTGACGCGGTGGCTGGGCAACTGACTACCGAATACGCCGTTTTGATTCCCACAAGGAACAACTCTTTGTGTGATCCACAAATTGTTGTTCCGGGTCTGTGTGTGATGTGTATGTGAAATTGTATGTTTGTAACCGCACCCACGACACAGGAAAACATCCAAGTGTGGGGCAATGTTTTTCGATCGATGTTAGCTACTAAAATAAATTCAAAACAATGTGATTTTTTCCAAGTTATACATACTTTTTTATGATTATTTAGACACCACTGACATACGGTGTAAAAATACGCGAGAAAACCTAGACTTAAAAGTTTGAAATCGGCAACCGCCTTGAGCAAGCGTGGTGTAAGCTCAAACCTTCTCCGTATGAGAAGAGGCCTTTGCTTAGCAGTGGGCATTTACAGGCTGATGACTGCTGTGACACTGTTTACTCATTTCAAGGCAATACTAGAAACTGTAGACATGGACGAAACACGCCGACTGAACCTGGACTTTACAAGTATAATACCGTATTTGGAAAGAACTAGGAGATACTATCGAATGAAGACTGACGCTCAACTAATTAGCCTGCAAGCTACTGGTTGTCTGAGCATTTATTTACCTGGTTGCTTTTGTAAAGCTGGGTGAGTAATCTATATATGCATACTATCTTGGACCATCCCCGAAAACCCCCACATATCAAATTTCAGCAAAATCGTTAGGGCTGTTTCCGAGATCACAATACGCTTTTTCAAGCAATCAGCGCCATCTACCGGGCTGATCTGTAAATCTAAACCATCCAGGGCAAAAGCATACAGAAAAATCATTTAAATCGGTCAAGCCGTTTAGGAGGTGTTCAATGGCATGTACACTTACAGTTGAATTATATACACATATAAGATTAGCGACCCGTTCCGGCTTCGCACGCGCGGTGCCTTGCTGATATTAATTTTCTCCGCTATTTAATGATTTTTATTTTTTTTATAGTATAGTTCAAAAAATAAGTCAAGAGCAGCGAGCCCTACAAGGCCGATGTTCAGCCAGGGTTGCGGGGCTAGCGCAATAAGGTACCGCCGTACCGCGGCCTAGGCCTAATTAAGAGTCTGACACTTTTTTTGTCAGGGGAAATCATCAAATGACTTCTCACGCCCAGGGTAAGGCGAGAGAGAATGACTGACTTAAAACTTCTCTGGGCCGAGGCCGCGGTGCATTCATCATTGCGCTTAACCCGCATCCCCGGCTAAACATCAGCCCTATAGAGCCCGTCTGTGGTGGTCTATTGGTTCTTTGAGTAGCTCGCGCCGTTCTCTCGGAAAAATATTGATACTATCACAATCTTTTATGTTATTTGGTAGGTCACATAAACGTGAAAGTTTGTATTTTTTACAGGTATGTGGAAGACCAGGAGCAATGCGTTAAACCAGAAACATGCGCCCCGGACGAAATGAACGAGGAGTACTTCCAAAGAATTGTTTTAGAATCGTTTTACCACAAGATAGCAAGGTCTAAGAAAAAACCGGCGTGAAACAACCACAGCGTCGTGTTTCGCCGTGTGAGTGAAGTTACCGAAGACCCAGTCCTTCTTCCTCTTCCCCAATGTACCCTAAATATCTGTTCAATTACATAAGAAAATAAATATAAAATTAAATAAACATTATTCTCTCTCTCTCTCTCTCTCTCTCTCTCTCTCTCTCTCTCTCTCTCTCTCTCTCTCTCTCTCTCTCTCCCCATCCCCTTTGTCACCATCTCCCACCTCTCTGTCTGTCTCCCCCCCCCCCCCCCTCTCTCTCTCTCTCTCTCTCTCTCTCTCTCTCTCTCTCTCTCTCTCTCTCTCTCTCTCTCTCTCTCTCTCTCTCTCTCTCTCTCTCTCTCTCTCTCTCTCTCTCTCTCTTTCTCTCTCTCTCCCCATCCCCTTTGTCACCATCTCCCACCTCTCTGTCTGTCCCCCCCCCCCCCTCTCTCTCTCTCTCTCTCTCTCTCTCTCTCTCTCTCTCTCTCTCTCTCTCTCTCTCTCTCTCTCTCTCTCTCTCTCTCTCTCTCTCTCCCCCCATCCCCTTTGTCACCATCTCCCACCTCTCTGTCTGTGTCCCCCCCCCTCTCTCTCTCTCTCTCTCTCTCTCTCTCTCCCCATCCCCTTTGTCACCATCTCCCACCTCTCTGTCTGTCTCCCCCCCCCCCCACTCTCTCTCTCTCTCTCTTCTCGTTGTGTATGTGAAATTTTATGTTTGTAAACGCACCCACGACACATGAGACAGTCCTAGTGAGGGGCAACGTTTTTTAAAGACTAAAATAACTAAATTGATATCGTTTCACCCGCTCAGGCTCCAGGATTCCACAGATAGACAGACAGACACACACGTCAAACTTATAACAACCATTTTTTTGCGTCGGGGGTTTACAATGAGGAACGGACGCCTTAAGTTACCGGCGACTACGACATTATTAATACATATATGCAACAGTCACTTAATAACGATTGGGTAGTTTCCTAGGTCAAAAATAAATTAATTCGGCGTTTCAATACAATAAAATATTGAAAACTAACTATAGGTACTTTTATTCACACACTACACTAAATTTTCTAAATATTAAAGAAAAAAGTAATCTATTTGACGCAAGAGTACTATGACGTCATAATACAAATTTCATAGAGGGCTGATTTTTCAATGGTTAGATAAAAGTTACCTAGGGAATAATTATGATGCTGTCGCGTCAGAATGTTTGTATAAGACAGTGACAGCAACAATTTTATTCCTCAGATAACATTTATCTGACTATTGAAAAATCAGCCGAGAGAAGTATATTTTTTTTGAAATTCGGATAAAAGTATTGAATTTGACTAGTTGGAAACTACCGTATTACCTACAAGTTTTTTACTTACCTGTATGTATCATTTTGTGTCCGCTCAGTGAATAAGTTGAACTGAAAGCTTTGCCGCATACATCACATTTGTGAGGTTTTTCACCTGAAAAACAAAAAAATCATAATTTTTATTATTATTATTTGTTTTTTATGTAATAGGTCGACAAACGAGCAGACGGATTACCTGATGGTAAGCAATCAGCGTCACTCGTAGACACTCGCAACGGAGGAGTTACGAGTGCGTTGCCGACCTTTTAGGGATTAGGGATTTGGAGATTTACGGATTGAGGAGGGATTGGGGGGGGGGGGATGATTGGGCCTCCGGTAACCTCACTTACACGGCGAAACACAACGCTAAACTATTATTATTAATTTTATATTTATCCAGCCGCCCGCGACTTCGCACGCTTAAAAAAGTAATATATCCAGTGATATTAAAAACAGCAGCGTTTAAAGCGATAGCTCGACTAAAATACTTAAATCAAGTATAATTTATAGACTACTAGCTTTTGCCCGTGACTCCGTTCGCGTGGAATAGCGACTTCCTGCAGATTTTTGGCATAAAAACTATCCTTTGTCCTTTCCCGAGTACCAAACTATATCTGTACAAAATTTCAGACAAATAGGTTCAGTAGTTTAAGCGTGGAGAAAAGGCAGACAGCGTTACTTTCGCATTTATAATATTATTAATTTGGATTTATTAATTTCATCAGTACGAAACGAATGGCTCGACTGGAGTGATACCAGGGCCTCATAAAACAAAACAATTACAAGCTAGGCTAGGCTTGGCTTTCTATGAGACCGTTTCATTTAGGAATAAGTTATTAACACCAAACCAGAGAGAGCACTGTTTACATTGTCAATAACTGATTGTCGCCGTCTGAGTTTGAATAACAGAGATGTATCATCAGCAAACAGCACTATCTCGTGTCTATCCCTTACAAGGTAAGGCAAGTCATTAATATAGATAAGAAATAAAAACGGGCCGAGAATAGAACCCTGCGGAACACTCATCTTCACAAAAGGATCTTGGATGAAGGACATTGCTTTGCGTTCCTTCGGTGTTGGCCCTGGAGCCAAAAGCATCGGAAATATATGTATTCTAGCAGAGTAGATATATTAAAAAAGAAGAGTCAGATTATGAGGTTATAATTGAACCATTATAATGAATTTTAAGAGTTATTTTTCAAAGCTCTTTGTTGTTTTAAGAACCAAGCCAAATACCTATCAACAAAACTACTTTTGAACAGTGTAACTACCTATGAAACCAGCCATACGTTACCAGCCGCCAACGAAGATGGCGACTAGTAATGTTATTAGTCACGTAAAGTACCATTAAATACACGTTTTGGAATACAGATTGCCGTCTTTAAGAAATGCTGGCAACTTAAATAATAAATAAAAAAGACCATTAATTATTGTGTGTTCGGATACTCTTTATTGCACAGGGCCAATTTGGATATTAGGTATGAACAATGTATCACCTAATAATTTATACCTATGTTCATTTCAAATCACACACATACATCATCAGCCTATATGTGCCCCTGCTGAGCAAAGGCCTCTCCCCATACGGAAAAGGCCTCTTCCCATTAATCAGCACGCTTGCTCAACGCGGAATGGCGATTTCAAACTTATAATTAGAAATTATAAATCGAGGTTTCCTCACGATGTTTTCCTTCACCGTTTGTCAAAGGAAAAGGAAAGGGTTACATTGGTACTTGCCAGGTTTCGTAACGGCACCCTCATGCATGAGAAGTGGGCGCTTCAACCTCTTGGCCAACACGACTGGGCCATCATTTCAAATAAATCTATACTAATATTATAAAAAGATAAAATTTGTAAGTTTGTATGTAGGGGGAAATAATTGGAACCGCTGGTCCGATTGCCAAAATTATTTCACTGATAGATGGCTACAATGTTCCTGAGTGCAATAGGCTATAAAAGATCACGCTACAATCAAATGGAACCGCGCGACAGTAGCTAGTATAATATAAATCTAAATCTCACCTGTATGCACCCGCATATGAACCTTGAGTTTACACGAAAAATGGAAACACTTCCCACATATATCACACTGGTGATCCGTCGGTTCCGTATGGGTTTTCTTCATGTGCCGACTCAAATATTTCTTTATCTTACATTTATAATCACATATTTCACATTTGAACGGGAATTCGGTACTGTGTAATTTTCTGTGGCAGTATAGACCTGATGGGTCTGTGAATTTCTGTAAAAAAGAAAAAAATTAAAATGATTTTATGTTACAGGACGGCAAACGAGCAGACAGATCACAAGGGCGGATCCACCGTTGTGGGCACGATGGGCATGCCCACAACCTAATACACTTGTGATTGAAATAGGTTTGGATCGAAACTGACTATTAGAAACTAGAAGAAATCGTATCCAACTTCTTCCTAAGTTTATTTACATTCCTAAGGCCAAAGTCCTGATGCTCAGAAAAAAGGAAATCTAATTCATAAACGATTTGCATGATTGTTAATGAGCATGTCCTTGCTCCGACTCGTACTTAGCCGTCTAGTAGCTGTGACCACAACCTTTTTTGAAGGCTGGATCCGCGCTTGACGGATCACCCGATGGTAAGCAATCAACGCCGCCCATGGCAGCCGAGACAGCAAAGAAGTTACGAGTTTAAAGGGTTGCTTTCGCATTTATAATATTAGTTTGGATTTGGATGAGAATTCTATTAAAGGTCATTTCTTTCAATAGAGTGTCAGTAGTTAATCATTGGAACGTCATAATGACGCCATTATAATAATAAATTACCAAACTTATCCAAATCAACAATACCTACGGTAGTTTCCAACTAGTCAAATTCAATACTTTTATTCAAATGTCAAAAACTATACTTTATTATGACATTTGTATGAAAAACTGAGTTATGACGTCATAGTTTTTTGCGTCAACTAACTGCAAAATATCTAAAACTTAGTGTATCGATCGATCGATGAATAAAAGTTTACGTTTTTATAATAACTATCGTGAGACATACTAAATTAACTAAAAATCGCGGGTTACACTCGCGGGTCTACATTGAGAAAAGCTCTACTAGTTTCGAACCACAGAGGGATTCTTCCTCATGAGCAGAGTGCGCGTACGCGGCGACGTCGCGCAGCCTAGAGTGACGTCAGTAGGCTGCGCGACGTCATCGCGTACGCGATTTTTAGTTAATAAAAGTTAAGTTATTTTTCAATATTTTATTGTATTGATTGAAACGTCGAATAAATTTATTTTTAACCGACTTCAAAAAAAGGAGGAGGTTCTCAATTCGATTGTATTTTTTTTTTTTTTTTTTTTTTATTTTTTTTTTTTATGTTTGTTACCTCAGAACTCCGTCGTTTATGGACGGATTTGCAAAATTTTTTTTTATGATTGAAAGGATATGCTTCCAGATTGGTCCCATTCTTTTCAAAATCAAGTTTTGATGATGGGATCCATGAGAAATCGAGGGAACTCCTCAAATATTATAGGCAACTATATAGTAATTTTAATATTTTCATAGAGCACTCAAGCATTTACAGTCAAAAAGTAATGTTTGATGAGGTGGAACTGGTGAAGAAGATCAGAAATGGATGATGAAACTTGACACTCGCATAGATATCACAATCAAGGTAGTTCAGCAACTATGAAAATGCACTGTAA